CCCATCTCCCGTCCGTCGCCTGTCTCTGTCCCTGCCGCCACAAGGAAGAAGGCACGAAGGTGGGTTGGGCGCTGTTGCAAGGTGTGATGCGTCTATTTTTTAGGCGCCTCAAAAATAGGTGTGATGCGTCTATTTTTTAGGCGCCTAAAAAATAGGTGTGATGCAAGCTCATCAACACTTTTCAGGCGCCTCAAAAGTTTGGTGTGTTGCAAGGTGTGATGCAATCTCATCAACACTTTTCCTTGCTGACTTCCGTACCACGGGTGAGGAGTCTATTTTTGAGGCGCCTCAAAAATAGACTCCTCATGCTGTTGCAAGGTGTGATGCAATCTCATCAACACTCTTCCTTGCTGACTTCCGTACCACGGGGACGAAGGCAACGATGGTGGTTCAGGTGCTGGCTGTCACAAGGTGTGACACAACGCAAGCAATCATGTCAATAGATTTCCTTGCTGTCTTCCCCACCACCAGGAAGAAGGCAATGAAGGTGGCTCGGATGTTCCCATAGGCAGTGCGAGGCGTCAGGCGGTGCAGACGGGCGCAAGCAGCGCTCACTCAGAGGCAAAAGAGTTGCTTTCACACTCAGCTCATGCCTTCATGCAATCACCCCTGTCCCTCCCACGCCACCCCTTCCCCTGATTTTGCAGGGTGTTTTTGAGAATTCTTAAAAACACCCTGAGAATTCTCAAAAACACCCTTTCACACTCAGTTCATGCCGTCATGCAATCACCCCTGTCCCTCCCACCCACGCCACCCCTTCCCCTGCCCACCAGGAAGACGGCAATGAAGGTGGTGCAGGTGCTGTCTCAAGCTGTGCGCAATCACACTTGTCCCTCTTCCTTTCCTCGTTGCCTTGCTCCTTGTCTCCCCCTCCTCGGTGTCTCCCCCCCCCCACCAGGAAGAAGGCAATGAAGGTGGTGCAGGTGCTGTCTCAGGCCGTCCGCAAGGCAGCAGAGGACGCAGACGGGCGCAAGCAGCGCTCGCTCAAAGACGCAGAGGAGATGCTTCGAAGGGAGAACGAAAAGGCAGCCGCAGCTGCCGGTATTGGTGGGTATGGTGGTGCGGCCGTGCCTGCTGCCAAGCCTCTCAGCAGCTTTGGCGGCGGAGCCTCGGCAGCGGCGCCAGTGGGTGGTTATGGCTCATCTGCTGGTTTGGCCGCCAAGCCTAGTAGTGTGTCGAATTGGGGCGGGGGGAGCGGGGCAGCAGCAGCGGCACCTAGCCCGTGGGGTGGGGGAGGAGGAAGCGCCTTGGGGGGCCAGTGGGGGGACGATGGGGGGAGCTGTGGGGGGGAGTACCTGGGGAGGGGGGAGTGCGAGTGTGGGGGGGCGGGGGCATTCGGGGGAGGTAGCAGTGGTGGGGGGTGGGGGGAAGTGCGTCGACAGGAGGGGGAGGAAGTGCGTGGGGGGCAGGGGGGCAGACAGGGGAGGCGCAGGGGGGAGTGCAGGGGGTGGGGGGGAGCGACAGGTGGCAGCACGACGGGAGGGAGCTCTGGCTGGGGCATGGCAGCGGTGGCAGCTTGATATAGTAATTGCGGAGCACAGAGGCACATATGGTGTTAATTTGAGGTGGTGTCGGGGCATGCGTAGCAGGCTCTGCAGTGGTGCATGACAGGAGGAGTTGATTTGATATGAGTGACAGGGGAGCAGAGCAAACAAGGACACCAGGGCAGGGGGGCAGGCAGGGGGAGGCGTTGGGGGAGGCGTAGGGGAAGGCGCAGGGGGGGGCGTAGGGGGAGGCGTAGGGGGGAGTGCAGGGGGGGTGGGGGTGGGGGGGGAAGACAGGTGGGAGCAACACAGGAGGTAGCTCTGGCTGGGGCACTGGCAGCGGGGGCAGCTTGATATGACTGAGAGGGGAACACAGATGGTGACAGCAACACAGATGGTGTTGTTTATGTAAGGTGGTATGTTAGCACAGTCAACAGGCACTCTGCAGTGGTGCACAACAGGAGGGGGTCTGGATGGGGCACTGGCAGTGTTGGCAGCTTGATATGATTGTGCTTCTGTCCCACATGGTGCTGATACATACGTCTTGCTGTAGCAGCAGGCTTTGTTGATATGGCTCGGTGTTTTTGTGGCTCGGCGTTTATGTGGCTCGGCGTTTACGTGGCTCGGCGTTTACGTGGCTCGGCGTTTACGTGGCTCAATGTGTCACTGTACCGGCACCTCTGGAGATGGCTGTACTGTGTGACGGGCTCTGTTTATATGGCTCAGCGGGTTGCCACCACCAACCATAGTACCGGTACCTCTGGCTGCTGGATATGGTGATCCTGTTGAGTGTGGGAGTGTGGGTAATGTTACAGAATTCTTATTGCCTTCATATAAGATGACATACACTCTACAACCAGCAGACCCTCAAGGTGTTTATCCATTTCAAAAATGGAAAAATTGAAAGCAATTAATTATGTAGGCTAAATAAATATGTGTTACAGTATCAGGCACCCTCACTACTACAGTAGTGTAGGTATGTTGCCCATTCTGAGGTTACCGGTGTTATCAGGCACCACTGTAGTTAGCTTCTTCCTCCACACCCACACTGCTCCCTCACCTCACCTCACCTCACCTCACCTCACCACCATGCTGTCCCCTTCATGCTTCCAAATTACGCTGCTTCTTCCTCCTCTGCTGCTCCTGCCGCATCTGCTAAAAAATCTCTAGCTCCCCCCCTCCCCCACACCCTTTTATCCTTCCAAACTGCGCTGCTTCTTCTGCCTCCTCCTCCACCTCTGCTCCTGCCGCATCTGCTGAGCTGGTGACAGGTGTGCATTATAAGGGGGTGCGTTCACTCCCATTACAGGCACACTCGGCTGAGCCAACACCCCACCTGCCCCCATTACCCCCACTCCTGCCCTTCCAACCACCCCTGCCCCCCCAAACCCACCTAATCCCATCACCCCCCCGGCTCCCCCGCCCATTCCTACTGCGCCCATAACCCTTGCCCCTGCCCCTCCCATCCCTGCTGCCCCCATAACCCCTGCCCCTGCCCCTCCCATCCCTCCTCCTCCTCCCATAACCCCCACCCCTCCTGCTCGCGTCCCTGCCATTCCTTGCGCGCCCATAACACCACCCATACCACCCGAACCAGCAACACCACCCATAAAACCCGAACCAGCAACACCAGCACCACCAACGCCAGCACCAGCAACGCCAGCACCAGCAGCAGCACTAGCAGTTCCGGGGTTGGCTCTCATGCCTGCATAAGCAGCACTATACCCCATGGGGAGCGGAGTGTTCCCAGCAGAATTAGGGGCCTGAGTAGTCTGGGCAGCGGCTGGTGATGTGCGAAGGTGGGAAGCACCAAGGCTAGCGGACGTGCTGCTAGCTCCAGGTGCTAGGCCAGGTGAAACCTCAGGTGGAGATCCCATTCCACCTGCAGGAGTTTTAGCAGAAGAGAAGGCAGCAGAGGCAGCAGAGCCCCTGACAGCTGTCCCTGTGCCGCCCAAGCGAAAGGGAGCACCACCAGAGCTAAGTGCGTTTGACTTCACTGCTTGCTGCTGATGCTGCTGCTGCTGCTGCTGCTGCTGCTGCTGGTACTGGGAGGGCTGGTACAGTGGCAGCTTCTGTTCCAGTGGCTGTTGCTGCAATTTCCCCTGCTGCCGCTGCTGTTGCTCCTCAACTCCCCCATACCTCCCCCCATGCTCCCTCCCCCCATACTTCCCCCCATGCTTCCTCCACCCCCCATGCTTCCCCCCCCATTCTCCCCCCCCCCATACTTCCCCCACGCCCCCTCCACCCGTGCTCTCCCCCATGGGCCCCCCACGGAGACAACCACCCCTGGGCGGCGAGCTGCGTCTGTATCTGCCCCATCTGTAGCTGCAGCTGCTGTAGCTGCGACTGTAGCTGGATGGACTGTGTCTGACACTGCTGCAGCTGCTGTAGCAGCTGGGAAGTGCGAATCTGATTCTCTATTGTGCTCTGCGCATTCCCTTGCCTATGTGCATTCCGATGCCCGTTCCCATGCCCATAGGTATGTGTCTGTGCATGCCCATGCGTCTGCCCCTGTTGCTGCCCCTGCAATTGAGTGGTTGTTGTGGGAGTGGTAACTGCCCCATTGTCCCCCCCATCGTTCCCCCCATCGTTCCCCCATTGTTCCCCCCATCATTCCCCCCATCGTTCCCCCCATTGTTTCCCCCATCACTCCCCCCATCACTCCCCCCATCACTCTTCCTTTACTATCCCTCCCTGTCTGAGACTGTGCCTGCTGGCCGAATTGCACCTGAGAATTCACCTGACTCTGTTGCCCCACCTGACCCCCCTGCTGCTGCAACCCCCCTCCCCCAACCGTTTCCGCTTTCATCCCCCCCCTCCGCCACCCTTCCCCCATAACTCCCCTCCTCCTCCCCTTGCCCCCCCACGTTTCCCCCCTGCCCCCCTGCGCCCCTCGCCTCCCCCATCCCCTTCCTCCCCCCACAATCTTCTGGCGAGTACAAAGTGTAGAGGCTATTAAGGGAGCATTTGGCCTCGCGTAAAACTTCCTCCAGGGTGAAACCAGCCATGAACAGTAGAGTAACGCCCAGCGACCTGAAGAATCTCCTGCCCACGTGGGCCATGCCCGCTGCTTCGGCCAGGTGGGAGGCGAAGCGAGCGAGGGTAGTGCGCCCCATGGCGTTACGGACGTACCTGGTTGAGATGGGGTGGGGGGGGGAGGGAGGGGGGGAGGGGGGGAGAGGGAGGGGAAAGAGAGTGTCGGGTTGGTACACAGGAAGTGGGGAAGAACCGCCTGCCCACGTGGGCCATGCCGGCTGCATCGGCCAGGTGGGAAGCGAAGTGAGTGAGGGTTGTCGTGCCCATGGCGTTACGGACGTACCTGGTGTGGGTGTTATGTGGGCTTGGGAGGAAGGGGGGGGAGTAGAGGGGGGGGGTTGTGGGTGGGGACATAACGGCTGGGTTCACGAATAGTAGAGTAGCACTCAGCTTTTTGGTCGAATCAAAGGAAGAGAGGGGAGGGGTTGTGGGTGGGGACATATAGGCGGGGCTCATGAACAGTAGAATAACGCTCTGCGAACTGAGGACTCTCCTGCGAAAAAAGCAGACGAAACAGAGAGGCTTTCTTTATCCAGAAACCATGGCGTTGCGAACGTACCTGGTTGAAAGAGGGTTTGGTGGGGGGCGGATGGGGGGAGGGGAGGGAATGTGGGGAAAGGGAGTGTGGGGAAAGGGAGTGTGGGGTTAGTATACAAGAAAAAAAAAGGAGGCTTTGTTGATCCAGAAACCAGTACCAGCTCCCCTGATAAGGAGTGGGGTTCGATACTAGAACGCGCAAGGGCGAGTTTCACCTACAGAAATAGGCACCATTGAGCCAGAACCCACTGCAAGCTCACCTGTTAAGAGGCTCGTACGAAGGCGCGCGCGCAAATTTCGCCGACAGAAACAGGCTTGGCGGAGCTCCGGCCGGCCGCATCCGAGCCTCCTCGTCCACAATCCGGACCGGGCACAGGATCGGATTCTGCGGGTTCGGAAAGAACTGCTTGTGAACGAGGCTCGGAGCCAGGTTCGCGGGCGGCACAAAGGCCACATGCTCCCCGGGAAACTGTGCCGATAAGTACGACGCCCCCCGGTTTAACACCACGAAGTGGCCGAACTCGAGCTTTAAGAGGTCGTCGATGCCGTGGCGCACGGCCAGGGTTGCGAAGACGATGAGTTTGCGCATCGTGTGGGCGACGGCGGTGGGCTTGGAGAGCGCCGGACTCGCCATCATGCGGCGGACGTCGCCTAGATGCAGGGCGTGGCTCGCTGACCCGCGCGGTTTTCGTTTTCGCTTCCTGCTGCCCGCTTCCTGCCTGCTGCTAGTAGCACCACCACCTGCTGCTGCTTCTGCTGCTGCTGCTTCTTCCTCTCCCCCTTCCTCCTCCTCCTCGTCCTCCTCCTCCGCCTCTTCTTCCTCCTCTTCTCCCTTAAACCCCTCGTTTCGAACATCCACCTCCACTAAAGGTTCCTCCTCCGTCCCTCCTACGTTCATATTACATTCAGATTCTACTGCTTTCTCAAGCCCCCCTCCGTTCATCACACCCCCATGGCTGCATTCATCCTCCGTCTCCTCCTCGTCCTCCTCGTCCTCCTCGTCCTCCTCCCCCTCCTCCTCCTCCTCTCTCTCCTTTTTCTCTGTACATTTTTCCTCCGCCTCCCTTCCCTTTGCTCCTCTCTCCTCCTCGCCTCTGTCCTCATCTGGTGCCTTTGCCTCACGCCTCCCCTCCTCTGACTGCTTCTCCTGGCTTGCCGTTTCTGTACCAGCTGTAGCAGCATCTGTAGCAGCATCTGTAGCACCATCTGCATCATCACTAGACGGCAGCTTCCGACTTGCTCCCTTATTGACTCCCACTATTTGATCAGATACAGGCTCATCCGCTATAGGAGCCTCTACTATCGAAGCATCCGTTATAAGAACATCTGACACAGCAGCGTCACCTGATAGAAGCACGGCTCCTCCAGCAACAGCAAAGAGGGCAGCAGTCACAGCCTCTGCTTCCGCCATAGTCACTCCATCCAGCTCCTCAGCATCTCCCCCCGCCATAGTCACAGCCACTTGATCCAACCCCTTAGCATCATCCCCCGCCATAGTCACATTTCCATCACCAGCAGGGCCAGCAGCAGCAGGGCCAGCAGCAGCAGGAGCAGCAGCATCCACTTGTTGCCCGCCTTGTTCAGGTATTTCGGTGACATCAGCATGGCCGGCAGCAGCAGCAGCCAGACCAGCAGCATCACCAGTGCCACCGAAGCCATTTTCTCTGCTCTTCTCTCCCTTGTTCTCCCCATTCTCCTTACCCTCCCGCTCATCGTTCCCTCGCTTTTGAGTCGACTCACAAGCAGTCTTCTCTCCCTTGTTCTCCCCATTCTCCGTACCCTCCGCCTCATCTTTCCCTTGCTGGTCCGTTTCGTTCTCCTCGTCTCCAGCATCGCCTGAATCGCCTCCCCCAGTACCACCTGAATTATCTTCTAGATCGCCTCTTAGCTCGTCGCCACTACAGCCATCCCCCGCCTCCACGGCTGTAGCCGCCTCCACGGCTGTAGCATCTTTCCCCGCGTCCCCAGTGTCGACTTTTTCAGCGACCACTCCATCATTAGTTAAACCGTCACTAGTTAAACCGCCAGTAGTTAATCTGTTGCACTCGGCGTCGCCCGCTGTTTGCTCTGCGACCATCTCGTCGCCCACCGTTTGCTCTGCGACCATCTCGTCGCCCGCCGGTTGCTCGTCAGGCGGCTTCTCCTGGCCTCCTTCCTTGGCGTCCGCTGCAGCGCCCGTCGTAAGTCCCGCTGTCTCGCCTGCTCTCTCCCCTGTTGTCTCGCCTGCTCTCTCGTCTGCCGCAGTCTCGGCTGTAGCGTTCGGTATAGCGTCAACCGTACCATCCACTATAGCGTCAACTGTAGCGTCGGTTATATCTTTGCTTGCGGCGTCCACTAAAGCGTTCGCGGACTGTGGTTCTTTCTCCGAGGCAGACGGCTCGTCAGCTGCGCGCTGCTGCTCGTCGCGATCGCTGAGACGTCGATCGGACCGAGCGTCGTGAGTTTCTTCTTCCGTGTCCTGACGGTGAGCCTCTGTAACGCCCTTACTAACGTCCTCCCGACCCGCGATTGCTGGGTGTGCACTGGGAACCGAGCTAGCTCCTGGAACTAAGCTAGTTAGAACAGTTGCACCGTCGCCGTCTTCAGCCATATTTTTCTCTCGAAACAAAGCGGAATCTACGCTGGCTCCAGGACCGAGTCGCGATCCCAATTTACGGAGGTAAAATGTTTCAGAAGGTGGAGATTACATCAGAGTAGGCTAAGGCCACTGGGCATTGCAAATCGCTTTATTTATCCTCGGACGTAGTTCCGCTGGTAGGGAGAGCGAAATTATCCGACAATCAGCAACTCGGGCTGGGAAAGAGATCGCTGAACTCGGCCAAACACCGTGCGATGTTCCCAAGGGGCTGCAGAAAACGATTCCGCAAAAGTTTTGTTCGAAGAATGGGAAGAAAAGGGAGGGACGGATGGGCTCTGGCGTGCAGCGAACCATTGGCTGCCCGATGGGGATGTTCGAGGTGAGCATAATGACAAGGGATGGGCAGCCTGAGCATTTCGATAGGGTTTCGAACGCTGCCCACGAGCTGGTGTTGTGGTGGCAATTTACACCGGGCAGGCGATGGGGAGGGAAGCACGGATTGTGGTGGACCGTAACGGAATCTGATCGTCCGTCCAAATTGCAATCCAGCGGCCGAGCGCAGCTCCAGCCTTATCCTTGATTCTTCACATCTCCGGGTTTAATATATTGTCTTCGCGTATACTTTTAAAGAGCGGTACTGTATTCACATCATCGAGGCTGACAGTGACGAAGACGCAGGCTCGGGGAACCGGCAGCCGGGGAACAATCTAGAGTTTGGCTTCTACCCTACCCCTATGGCTGCTAGATAACTTGGCATGTGTCTACGACTGAAGTATTTTCGCTCTCTCTGCTTTCTAAGCTCAGCCTGCTGTAGCAAGCAGCTAGCATCAGAATGTGTTTGCGCGCGTCGTCGCCTTAGCTCTAACCGCGCCCCTGTGCTTCAATTCAGCATTTTCCGTCCTAAGAGTAACTGATTAATTCCTAGTGCATCGTACTCCAACCCTCCAGTCATGGCTAGGCCAGGAAACCCCGGCTCTCGCCGTTCGCCGCACGCCAAGGGAGGAAAGTTCGGGCAGCAGAAAAAAGGGCAGAAAAACAACAAGCACCAGTACCAGAAACCCCCGTCGAAGCTACAGCTAGAGGTCGCGGAAATCCGCCAGCTAGAAGCGCGGATCGCCGCGGGCGCCCCCGCGCCGGGCTCGAACCCCCTAGCCGCGGATCTCGCCGCTCCCCCCGCTCCCCCCGCGCCAGCGAACAACAAAGATAAGAAACGGAATGCGTCTAAGGAAGGGTTGCCCGCGGCGGCAGCGGGAGGCGGGGCGGCGGGCGGGAAGGGGGAATTGGAGCCGTACGTCGGCGCGAAGCTGTTCGAGGATCTGCCGATCTCGAAGCGCACGATGCGCGGACTAAAGGTGAGATTCAGAGTTTATTCGAGAGTTTAGTGTGCAAACTGGGGGTTAGTCTGCAGCAGCGGGAGGGGGATTGGATCTTAGGGTTTTAACGTCCGATGGTGATCTGTAAACGTCTGATTGGACGTTTGAATCGTCAGGCGGTTTGGAATCTGATTCTTCAGCTTGGCATCGTGTCAAAGTCTCTCTCCGAATTCCCGTTGTCCCCCTTTTTCATGCCACGTGGCGCAACAGGATTCGGAGTATGTCCACATGACGGCCATTCAGCGAGCCGCGATTCCCCACGCCCTGTGCGGGAGGGACGTGCTGGGAGCAGCCAAGACAGGCTCCGGCAAAACCCTTGCGTTCATAATTCCCGTAAGCTGAGCTTTATATGTGCTCACCAGCGCGCTGCCATTCCCCACGCGCTGTGCTGGAGAGACGTGCTGGGAGCAGTCAAGTCAGGGTTCATGATTCCCGTAAGTTTAGCTTTATATGTGCTCACCAGCGAGTTGCCATTCCCCACGCCCTGTGCGGGAGAGGCTTGCTGGGAGCAGCCAAAACAGGGTTGGGCAAACTCCTCGCCTTTATTATTCTGGTGAGTTGGACTAGTCGGCTCGTTAATTCTTAGCCGTTACCCAATTTCTAGTTTAGCCGTTACCCAATTTCTAGTTTAGCCGTTACCCAATTTCTTTGCAGGAGTAAAACCCCGTGCCGTGTGGCAGGTTTTCCAAACCCAAAACCGATTCTTGTTTAGTCGTCCTGTTGGCATATCCTCCTTTTGAAAAGTCTCTGAACTGTTTCACAAAAATCGGTGGTCGCATCGCATCTTGATAGGCTGGTGCCAATTCTCATTTTTTGAGCTGCCTTGCTCGCAACAATACCCCCATTATCTTAATCTCTTCGCCAATAATCTCTTCACCCCCACCCCACCAGCTTTTGGAGAAGCTCCATCAGCAGCGGTGGTCGCACTTGGGCGGTGTGGGTGGGGGGCGTCGGCACAGGGTCACCTAGCTTCCTCTGTAAACCATGCTTTTCTCTTCCCCGCCCTTTTGAGGAGTCTGTTTTTGAGGCGCCTCAAAAACAGACTCCTTCCCCCCGTTGCCTCAGGATGCCTGCCCCTTCACCTTTTTTCTCTGTATCTCGTTTTGAGGCGCCTCAAAAATACGCGAGGAGTCTATTTTTGAGGCGCCTCAAGAATAGACTCCTCAGGATGCCTACCCCTTCACCTTCTTTCTCTGCATCTCGATTTCCCCCGTATCAACTGTAACTTCAGCTTCTGGAGAAGCTGCACCGGCAGCGGTGGTCGCACGCACATGGACGGGGTGGGCGGTGTCAGCAAGTGTCACCTAGCTCATGCTTGCCTCTTCCCCTCCCTTCTCTCTTCAGCTTCTGGAAAGCTGCACCGGCAGCGGTGATCGCACGCACACGGACGGCGTGCGCGGCATAATCATATCGGAGACACCTCACCCCAGGATGTTCCTTATCCGTCTTGCCCTGCATCTGCCGATGCCCCTAACCGTATTCTCAGCTTCTGGAGAAGCTGCACCGGCAGCGGTGGTCGCACGCACATGGACGGCGTGCGCGGCATAATCATATCGGAGACACCTCACCCCAGGATGTTCCTTATCCGTCTTGCCCTGCATCTGCCGATGCCCCTAACCGTATTCTCAGCTTCTGGAGAAGCTGCACCGGCAGCGGTGGTCGCACGCACATGGACGGCGTGGGCGGTGTTTTGACAGTTTAAGCCGTAAAAAAACGTAGACATTTCCCACTTCCCTTGCATTGATTTCGTCAGCTTCTGGAAAAGCTGCATCGGCAGCGGTGGTCGCACATGGACGGCGTGGGCGGCATAATCATATCGCCCACCCGGGAGCTTGCCACCCAGATCTTCAACGAGCTCAAGAAGGCCGGCCGGCACCACCCGTTTTCGGGCGGCCTGCTCATTGGCGGGCGAGCTGGGAGCGTGGAGAAGGAGAGAGACAGGGTGCAGGTGGGTGTGGGTGGGTGCAGGTGGGTGGGTGGTCAAGTGTGCTTGTTCCATGATCACGTTAAGCAACAGCACAATATCCGCAGAGGTCTGCTCATTGGCGGGCTTGCTTGTTGATCTTGCTAGGCAGCAGCATGTGAAGGGTGATTGTTTGCCAATTGGTGGGCGTGGAGGAGCGTGGAGAAGGAGAGGCAGCGAGTGCAGGTGGGTGGGTGGGTGGGTGGGAGAATATTCGCATCAGTTGGTTAAATTTCTTGGCGGAACGCCCAGTTGTTGGCTAAAATTTCCAGGAAATGGACGAGTCAAGATTGACGGTACTCTCATGTTGTAGGTGATTTTTGAGAATTCTAAAAGCTCACCTTTTTTTAGAAATCTCAAAAATGGATGAGTCTAGATTGACGGTACTCTCCTCCCCTCTCACCACCCCCAAACCCTTATCCTCCCCTTCCCCGCCCTTCCTCCCCTTCCCTGACCTTCCTCCCCTTCCCTGCCCTTCCTCCCCTTCCCTGCCCTTCCTCCCCTTCCCTGCCCTTCCTCCCCTTCCCTTCCCCACCAGTAGCTCAACATCCACCTCTGCAAGCCGGCCCGGTCGTCCGTTGCACCATATGGAGGAGTCAAGATGCTCCCTGTATTCCCTCTCTTTCCTACCCCCCTCCATTCTCCCTTCCCCTCCCCCCCCTCCATTCTCCCTTCCCCTCCCCCCCCTCCATTTTCCCTTCCCGTGGCCTGTCCCACCAGTCGCTCAACATCCTTGTCTGCACGCCCGGCCATCTGCTGCAGCATATGGATGGCTCAAGATGCTCCCTCTCTTCCCTCTCTTCTCTTCCCTCTCTTCTCCTCCCTCTCCTCTCTTCCCTCTCCTCTCTTCCCCCTCCTCTCTTCCCTCTCTTCCCTCTCTTCCCTCCATTCTCCCTTCCCATGGCCTGTCCCACCAGTCGCTCAACATCCTTGTCTGCACGCCGGGTCGTCTGCTGCAGCATATGGACGAAACTCCTAATTTTGACGCATCCAATCTCCAGGTATTGTACCAATCAGCAACGAAGACCAATAGGTGGCTTCACTAGTTGAGCGGAATGGCGGACCGTGGAGTGGAGCATAAGCGAGAAATCGTAGGATAATAACTCGGGTTTACAGGAGCCGTTATGATGCTTGGAACGTGAAATTTCAGCACAAGTTGCATCCCCACTGGGGAATCCTGGTACAAAGAATATTTGTCATATTGGTGCAAAGAATATTGGTCATATTGGTGCGTTTAATATTGGTCATATTGGTGCATAGAATATTGGTCATATTGGTGCATAGAATATTGGCCATATTGGTGCATAGAATATTGATCATATTGGTGCATAGAATATTGGTCATGTTGGGGCGTAGAATATTGGTCATATTGGTGCGTAGAATATTGGTCATATTGGTGCATAGAATATTGGTCATATTGGTGCATAGAATATTGGTCATATTGGTGCATAGAATATTGGTCATATTGGTGCATAGAATATTGGTCATATTGGTGCATAGAATATTGGTCATATATGATATTGGTGCATAGAATATTGGTCATATTGGAGCATAGAATATTGGTCATATTGGTGCATAGAATATTGGTCATACATGTATGGAAAGTTGCGCTCTCATCCTTTTAAGCTTCTACGTGTTTAGGTTCCATCCAGGTCCTTGTCTACCCTCTTCCTCAATGGTGTCCATCATTCCATCCGGGTTTTAGATGGACGTTTTTTATACCGACGCTTTTCTCCTCCCCACTCCTGTCCTTATTCCCTCTCCCGGCGCCTCTCCCTTCACTCTCATACTTCCAGCAACGTGACAATGAAGGTATCACTCACCAATCAACTCTTTGCGGCATTATTCCTTGAGGGGTTCAGCACCCTGCCCTTCTCCTTCCTCAGCTGATAGCCTATCATAATCTCGGGGTGACTTTTGAGTCGACTCAAAAGTGTTTTGTGACATTATAACGAGGTGACTTTTGAGTGGACTCAAAAGTCACCTCGTTATGAAGTCACACAACACATCTCCTTGCTCAGCTGATAGCCTATCATAATCTCCAGACGCTGCCTCGCCCGGACAATCGCCTTCTTCTTAGAACGTGGATTCTTAGAACGTGGATTCATCTCCGTGGGTTCATCTCCGTGCGTCTGAGATTCCGAGGGGGAAGGAAGAGCTCACCTTCTTTGAGGTAGCTCCTTGAGGCAGCTCCTCCTTCTTTGAGGTGATAGTGCGGGCGAGGCAGCTCCTTGAGATTGTGACTGGCTATCAGCTCGGCAAGGAGGAGAGGGCAGTGCTGAACCTGTCAGCGGAGAATGCTACAAGGAGAAGGTGGTTTTTGAGTGATACCTTCATTGTTCCAAACCTTTGTTGTCAATATGCTTTCCCCCTCCCTGTCAGATGCTCGTCCCGTCCCGTGCAAAGCAGAGCAGACTCTGGATCCTTGCTTTGCTTTGCGCGATATTTGCCAGCCCCTCCCCCGTTCCTCCCGCTTCCCGATCCCCCAGGTGCTCGGGTTAGACAAGACGATTTGGATTCTCGACCTGGGGGGTATGCCCAAGCCCTAAACCCCTATCCCCGCTGCACGCCCCGCTTCCTCCCCTCCCCCACCCCCTCCCCCACCCCTCTGCTCCTCCAGATGCTTGTGTTGGGTGAGGGCGACCGGATTTTCGACCTGGGCTTTTCCCAAGCGCTCTACACCATCATCGCCAACCTGCCTCCCCCGCCGCATCGCCAAACGCTAAACCCCCAACCTCCTATCCTTCCTTCCTTCCCCCATCCCCAGATGCTTGTTTTGGACGAAGCTGACAGAATTTTGGACCTGGGCTTCTCACAGGCGCTCAACGCCATCATCGCCAACCTGCCTCCCCCGCCGCACCGCCAAACGCTGCTCTTCTCCGCCACCCAGACCAAGTCCGTGCGCGACCTCGCACGCCTCTCCCTCTCCTCGCCCGAGTACCTGTCGGTGCACGCCGAAGCCAAGGAGGCGACGCCCCTGCGGCTGCAGCAGACGGTGATGGTGGTGGAAGCTGCCAGGAAGCTGGACGTGCTCTGGAGCTTTCTGAGAAACCATCTGCAGAAGAAGACAGTTGTGTTTCTCAGCAGCTGCAAGCAGGTGAGCTGCAAGCAGGTGAGCTGCAAGCAGGTACGCAGGGAAATGGGAGACAAGTAGACGACCCCCCCTTGTGGCTGCAGCAGACGGTGATGGTGGTGGAAGCTGCCCGGAAGCTGGACGTCTTGTGGAGCTTTCTGAGAAACCACCTGCAGAAGGAAACGGTCGTTTTTCTGAGCAGCTGTAAGCCGGTAAAGGAATGTACGAAGTGTTATTAGTTGCATGGTAAGCACGCAGGTGACAGGAGGGATCAGCGGGGAGAATGGCCTTGCCTGGGCTCAACCATCCTCCCATCCCCTCCTCCCCTGTTCCCCCACCCTTCCTCAGGTCAGGTTTGTGATCAAGGCCTTCAGTCGGTCACAGCAGCCCGGAATTGCTTTTGAGGCGCCTCAAAAGTTTGTGATCAAGGCCTTCAGTCGGTCACAGCAGCCCGGAATTGCTTTTGAGGCGCCTCCAAAGTTTGTGATCAAGGCCTTCAGTCGGTCACAGCAGCCCGGAATTGCTTTTGAGGCGCCTCAAAAGTTTGTGATCAAGGCCTTCAGTCGGTCACAGCAGCCCGGAATTGCTCTGAAGCTGCTGCACGAGCGGATGGAGCAGATGACCTGCCTCACCTCACCTCACCGCACCTCACCTCACCTCACCTCACCTCACCTCACCTCGCCTCACCCCACTCCCTTTCACCGGCCACCCCCCGTACCCAGGTCAAGTTGGTCTTTGAGGCGCTCCGAAGGCTATGACCTTGCATTTCTCTCAAGCTGCTGCGCGGGCGGATGAAGCAGATGACCCGCCTAGCCTAGCCTAGCCTCGCCTCGCCTTCCCTCACATCCTCTCCCCCCCTGCCCCACGGTCCACGACCCTTCCTCAGGTCAAGTTTGTCTTTGAGGCGTTCCAAAGGCTACGGCCTTCCATAGGCTACAGCCCGGCATCGCTTTGGAGTTGCTCCACGGGCGAATGAAGCAGATGACTCGCCTCGCCTCGCCTCACCCCACCCCATCCCCTCCCCCCCTTTGCCCCACCTCCCGTGAGGAGTCTCTTTTTGAGGCGCCTCTAAAATAGACCCCATCCTCTCCCCCCCTTTGCCCCACCACCCTTCCCCAAGTCAAGTTTGTCTTTGAGGCGTTCAGGCGGTTACGGCCCAGCATTGCGCTGAAGCTGCTGCACGGGCGGATGAAGCAGATGACCCGCCTAGCCTAGCCTAGCCTAGCCTAGCCTCGCCTCGCCTCGCCTCGCCTCACATCCTCTCCCCCCCTGCCCCACGGTCCACCACGTTTCATCAGGTCAAGTTTGTCTTTGAGGCGTTCACGCGGTTACGGCCCGGCATTGTGTTGAAGCTGCTGCACGGGCAGATGAAGTAGATGACTGGCCTCGCCTCGCCTCCTTCCGCAACCCTCTCCCCCCCCCTCCTCCCCTCCATCAACTCCCCTCCATCCCTAACCCCCAGGTCAAGTTTGTATTCGAGGCCTTCAGGCGCCTGAGACCTGGAATCGCTCTGAAGCTGCTCCATGGGCGAATGAAGCAGATGACCCGCCTGGCCTCCTTCTACGACTTCTGTGACTCGGACCATGCTGTGCTCTTCGCCACCGATATTGCTGCCAGAGGGTTGGATTTCCCTGCGGTGGACTGGGTGGTGCAGGTGGGTGCTTGTCCTGCCCTGGGTTGCCTCTAGTTGACCATGCGGTGTTATTCGCCACCAATATTGCCGCCAGGGGGCTCGACTTCCCTGTGGTTGACTGGATGGTGCAGGTGGGTGGTTGACTTGGTTTGACCTGCGTTTGCTCGGGTTAACTTGGGCTGTGCAGGTGCTTGTTTTCAATGCATTTCTGACTCGTGTTGACTCTTGTTGACTCCTGTTGACTCTTGTTGACTCTTGTCGACTCTTGTTGGCTCTTGTTGACTCTTGTTGACTCTTGCTAACTCGTGTTGACTGTTGTTGACTCCTGTTGACTCTTGTTGACTCTTGTCGAATCCTGTTGGCTCTTGTTGGCTCTTGTTGACTCTTGATAACTCTTGTTGACTCTTGTTGACTCTCTTTCTCCGTCTTCCCCACAACTGCCCATCCCCCAAAACCAGGCCGACTGCCCTGATGACGTGGCAACATACATTCACCGCGTGGGCCGCACGGCCAGGTTCAATGCATCTGGACGCTCACTGCTGCTGCTGACGCCATCTGAGAAGGCCATGCTACCGCTACTAGAGGCGGCCAAGATCCCCTTCTCCCTCACTAAGGTACGTGGTACCTTGTCTCTTCATCCCAACCAAGGCGTTTTCTGTCTAGGTGCTTGTTCTGATGTGCAGATCTGTCATTACCAATGGTGATTTTTAAGTCGACTCAAAAATCACCTACGTTTTCTGTCTAGGTGCTAGTACTAATGTGCACATCAGTACCAATCAAGGCACTTGTACTGATTCGCTCGCTGCTGGAGGCCGCCAAGTTCCCATTCTCTCACCAAGGTGAGTCTTTTCTTTTCATTAGGGCATCCAGCTCGGTGAACTTGGGTCTGAGACCCCTTTTGTGCTCACCCGCTTCGATAAAGCAATGCTGCCGCTGGTAGAGGCAGCCAAGATCCCCTTCTCCCTCACCAAGGTGCGTGCTGGTTGGTACCACGTTGTGCCAATGTTGGCTGTAGGTGCTGCTGCTGCTGCTGCTGCTGACGCCGCCCGTTTGAGAGAGGGCCATGCTGCCGCTGCTTGAGGCTGCCAAGATCCCTTCTCCCTCACCAAGGTCTGCTCACTCTAGGTGCTGTGCACTTGTTCCCCCCCCTACTCCCCCTCTGATTCGCTCTCTCACCTGCTGCTCCTGACGCCCTCTGAGAAAGCCATGCTGCCGCTGCTAGAGGCCGCCAAGATCCCCTTCTCCCTCACCAAGGTCTTCTCACTCTAGGTTCTGTGCACTTGTAATGATTCGCTCTCGCACCTGCTGCTGCTGCTGCTGCCGCTGCTAGAGGCCGCCAAGATCCCATTCTCTCCCTCACCAAGGTACGTGGTGCCTTGTCTCTTCACACCTAGGCGTTTTCATAGGTGACTTTTGAGTCGACTCAAAACTCGCCAAGGTGCGTGGTACCTTGTCTCTTCACACCAAGGCGTTTTCACTCTAGGCGCTGTGCACTTGTAAGGCCGTGCTGCCGCCGCCAAGATCCCTTCTCCCTCACCAAGGTATGCTCACTCTAGGTGCTGTGCACTTGTTCCCCCCCACTCCCCCTCTGCTTCGCTCTCAGCTGCCCCTGACGCCCTCTGAGAAGGCCGTGCTGCTGCCGCTGCTAGGGGCCGCCAAGATCCCATATCCCTCTCGAGGGTGAGTGGTGGCTGCTGCTGCCGTCAAAGGACCCGGAGATCAAGCACCTGGTGCAGGGTGCTGGGGACAGGCTGCTCTGAACCCGTTCCCTCTCCCTCCCCGCCCCTGTCAGCCCAACCCCGCCAAGATGCAGCCCATCTCGCAGGAGCTAGTTGCGCTGCCGTCAAAGGACCCTGAGATCAAGCACCTGGTGCAGGGTGCTGGGGGTAACCTGCTAACTGCGTGCCCCACCCACCCCCTCCTCCCAGCAATAATCCGTGTGTAATGAGTCGATTTTTGAGTCGACTCAAAAATCGACTCATTACACACTGGTGCAGGGTGCTGGGGGTCACCTGCTAACTGCGTGCCCCACCCACCCCCTCCTCCCAGCAACCCTCTCCCACCTGCTCTCTTCCTCCAACCAGGCCAACCCCGCCAAGATGCAGCCCATCTCACAGGGGCTGGCAGCGCTGCTGTCGAAGGATCCTGAGATCAAGCACCCAGTTGCTGGTGTTAAGCTGCCATGTGCCCCCCCTCTGCCCCCACCTCCCCTCCCCTCCCCATTTAGGCCAACCCAGCCAAGATGCAGCCCATCTCACAGGGCCTGGCAGCGCTGCTGTCAACGGACCCAGAGCCAGAATTCAAATACCTGGTGCAGGGTGCTGGGGATAGGTTGCTCTGGCACCGTTCCCTCTCCCTCCCTGCCCCTATCAGCCCAACCCAGCCAAGATGCAGCCCATCTCGCAGGGGCTGGCAGCGCCGCTGTCGAAGGACCCAGAGATCAAGTACCTGGCGGAGGGTGCTGGGGATAACCTGCTCTGACCCCCTCCCCTCTCGCACCTCCCCTTTGCAGGCCAACCCAGCCAAGATGCAGCCTATTTCACAGGGGCTAGCAGCGCTGCTGTCAAAGGACCCGGAGATTAAGTACCTGGCACAGCGGTCCCTCGTCACCTACCTGCGATCGATCCACGTACAGGTATGACTTGCACAAGTGTACATGTATGTATATGTGTATGTGTGCATGTGTGTACATAATACATACATATATATATATATATATATACATTGGATTTACACCTGGCAGAGCGATCCCTCGTGATGTACCTGCGATCGATGACATATACATATTCATATGTATATATATATATATAGAAAAGTGTATTGCATAGATTTGCTCAATTACCTGGCGCAGCATTAGTTGCATCAATAATCACCTATTTGCATTCCATGATTTTTTGCTAGTTGTCAGTCTCAATTATTCCCCCAGTAGCTGCCGTTGCCTCCCCTTTTCCTCCTCCAATCTCCAATCTTCAATCTCCTCTCTCCTTTGCTTACCCGTCTCGGTCATTTGGGCAGAGCAACAAAGAAGTGTTTGACGTGACCAAGCTGCCCGTGGAGGAAATTGCAGCCTCCATGGGGCTGCCCAACCCGCCAAAACTTCGCTTTTTGAAAAAAGTGAAGGGAGCAGGGAAAGTAGATGGGGATGAAGAGGAGGGGGGGGATGGGAAAAAGAAGGGGGATAAGGGGAAGGGGAAGGAGGAGGGGAAAGGGCCGGTAGGGGAATGGAAGGGGCAAAGGATTCAATTTGGTGATGATGGGAGTGATAGTGAGGGGGGTGGTGAGAGTGATAGTGAGAGTGAGGGAGAGAGTGAGAATGAGAGTGAAGGAGAGAGTGAGGGAGAGAGTGAGAATGAGCAAGAAGAGGAGGAAACAGAGGAGGAGGAGGAAGGGGAGGAAGAAGGGGATGAGGGAGAGGAAGAGGAAGAGGAAGGAAGTGGGGAGGAGGAGGGGGAGGAGGAGGATGCAAGGGAGGGGAGGAGGGAGGAGAAGAGGAAGAAGACCAAACTAGAGCGGCTGTTCGGGAGGAAGAACCGAGACGTGCTGTCGGCCTCATATGATAAGCTGAGAGCGCCTGAGGAGGAGGAGGAGGATGGGGAGGGGGGAGGGAGTGAGCAGGAGGAAGGGGAGGAGGGGGTGAGGGGGAGAGGTGGTTTGGGTGGGGGAGAGGAGGAAGAGGGGGATGATTTTTTGCGAGTCAAGAGGGTGAATCACTTGCTGGAGGGAGAGGAGGGGGGGGGAGGGGAGGGAGAGGAGGGGAGGGAGGAGGGAGGATTGGAGGGAAGGAGGGGGTTGACAGCTGGAGAGGAGAAGAAGGCGAATCTGTAAGTCATCCCCAACCAAACTTTTGAGATGCCTCAAAACTCTGATGTGAAAGCCCCTGGCACACTTATGTTCCGCTGCTAGTGGTTCATTGGTAGCACTTAATTAAGTTTTGATGGATCTTCTGTAAATGGTGCATGTCACGGTGATGCCACTTATGTAAGGTCCGAAGCACTTAACTTGCTCTAGCCAATCTGACCTTCCTCCCCTCAAACCTTCCCCCTCCCCCGCTCCTCTCACTCTATTCTCTCCCCCACCCCACTCATCAAGCCCCTCACTCTCTGTGTGAAACAGTGCAAGAAGCTTTTCTCAGATCTGTTCAGCAGGGGAGAAACGGATAAATCTTATCTGACCTTTCTCCCCTCCCGTTCTCCTCTCCCCGCCCATTACCTCCCCTCCCCCTGTTTCTCGGCCCAGACCCGAAGGTGACTTTTGAGTCAACTCAAAAGTCTCCCCACCCATTACCTCCCCTCCCCCTGTTTCTCGGCCCAGACCCGAAGGTGACTTTTGAGTCGACTCAAAAGTCTCCCCACCCATTACCTCCCCTCCCCCTGTTTCTCGGCCCAGACCCGAAGGTGACTTTTGAGTCGACTCAAAAGTCTCCCCACCCATTACCTCCCCTCCCCCTGTTTCTCGCCCCAGACCCCTGACTCTTTCCAGGAAGCAGCGCAAGAAGCTTCTCTCAGGTCCCGGCAAACATGGCGGCACACGATTGGTCTTCGACGACGAGGGCAACCCGCTGCCGCCCCTCGCCGCCCTTGCCCTCGAAAAGGACAAAGCCGAAGGGGTGGCGTCAGAGGGTCAGGGTGTATCTGGGAAAAGAGCACCAGGGGAGGATGCTGAGCTGGCAGCTGCCGCCCGGGCAGCTGAAGAAAGATTTCAGCAGCTGAGGGAGGAGATGCAGCAGAAGGATCTGGAGGACCGGGCTGCTGAAAAAGAGCGCCTGCGAATGAGACGGCTTAAGGAGAAGCTGAAAGCGAAGAAACGGGCAGGTGAAGGAGGGAGGGAGGATGGTGAGGAGGGAGGTCAGGTGGTATTGCTAGGCAGTGGGGGGGGTGATGATGAGAGCGAGGAGGAAGAGGAGGAGGAAGAGGAGGGAGAGGAGGAGGAGGGTGTGAGGAGGGGGAGAGGCAAAGGGAAGAGTGATAGCAGTGGAAGTGATTATAGCGAGAGTGAGGGTGAGGAAGAGAGGGGTGGTGAAAAGGGCAGTGTGCAGTGGGACGAGAGTGATAGTATGGAGGGTGATAGCATGGAGGGTGACAGTATGGACGAAAGGGGAAGTGAGGGGGAGTATGAGGAAGAGGCCAGTGGGGATGATAGAGGGGGAGAGGAAGAGGAGGAGGCACCGGAAGCAGTGCCGCTGGAATGGGAAGAGAAGGACCTCGCACAGGCAAAGCAGCAACATAGGAAGCCGCATATGTTGGGGCAAGGGATAGAAGAAGGAGAAAAAGCAGCAGCAGCAGCAGCAGCAGTAGCAGTAGCAGCAGCTGCTGCCAATGGGAAGAGAGGAAAGAGAGTGAAAGTTGGGGGCCCTATTGCTGGTACCAGGCCAGCCAAACGAGTGAGGTCAGACCAAGGGGAAAGTCAAGGGAAGGGGGACGGCAAGGCTGCAGGCAACAGAAGCACGGCAGTGGGACTAGCGGAGCAGGAGGCTCTTGTGCTGAAGCTGCTGGCTGCCAAACACAAGTGAGCGTGCTTGGCGGCAGGGTGAAGGCGCAGTGTCTGTCCGGCGTAGTTTCGTGCATGATGGGATGAAAATGGGGGAGGAGATGGCAGTCGGGAAGGCACGGGGATGGAAGAAGAGAGTGTCCGGGGCTGGGTTTGGCAGTGCAGGGGGCTGCCAAACAGAAATGGTAATATGGCAGGGTGAAAGAATGATGGTAAGAGATGATCACTCTGGGATTTTCAAGCATTCTTATTGTACTTTCAGTAAGTTTTACTGTGCTGGAAAAAAGTGTTACTAATTACTTTATCCAACATTCCCATAACTTGGTGTGCAACAGATAACTCCTGTTCTAAGAATCTTATGGCTCTAATGTCATGTACAAGTGGGATAAACGAAACAGAAATACCGAGGAGGAGCATCAATTGCTTGTAACACCCACCCTCTCAAACCATCCAACCAATATGATAATCAGGGTTGTCCAAAGCCACGCTATGTAAGTAAATACATCAGCAAAAAGTCAGCGAACTGATGCATTATTCAGCCTTGTACCGGAAATATCACTGTACCCTCCAGGACTACCCTCTGTCTACACATGGCCTGGGCCAGTAGCAGGTGCACCAGCAGAGGCCTTGGCGCCAAACTGGTCTACCTCGGGCTTGGGCGGGAATAGGTAGTCGCGGAGCAAGAGAGCAACGTAGAAGAGCCCAAACGAGCTGATGGCCACGCCAATGATGATCAGATAAGCCTGGAAGGTGAAGGGAGGGATGCAATTCAGAGAAAATAAGCAACATGAGAATTTGGCTTCTTTCAGTGGGATTTTTTGGTAATTATCCTGAGAGGACATGAGGGGAGGGAGGCATAAAATGTGCAGCAGATGGGGGCATGAGCAAGTGATGATGCGACAGATGTTGGAATGGAGAAGCAATAATATCATGAGAGTCTCACCTTCTGGCTTCCAGAGAACATTGTAGTGTAACGGTCGAGGCCGAGGAACACGTTCACCCAACCCATCACCACCGCGACAATCCCCACGAACCAGTGGCCGAAACGCCAGAACATGCGGTAACCGGAATTTCGCTTCGGCTTCACGAACCCGCCAATCGGGAGAACCAGCACAATAATGAAAATCGCCAAACCAAACTGCCCGTGAAGGTAATCCAATCCGCGACTGCCACTGGTAACCAGAGCAACAACTCCGCCGATGAATACGAAAAGAACGGCTAAGATTTGCAGAAACATGTGCGCCTTGAACCAGAAGGCCCTGCGAGCTTCGTCCTGTTCGGAGAGGCTCGCCGTAAGCCCAGCAGCCAAACCGTTGGCGTCGCCAGTTGTGCTGCGCAATAGGGGGTCCGAAATCTGGTCTGCTGCGAGGAACATACGCGCTATAATGATGGCGGATGGCATAATGATAGCGAACGCGAAGGCCATGAAAAACCCGTGCGCGATAAAAGACGCAGAATTTCCGTAGGCTGAGGGAGCGGGAGTGGTGGTGATGGTGGTTGTGCCATTGTTATAAGCCACATCGGCAGAGCCCCTGCACAAAAGGTTTAACAGAAATGTGAGGGCGACAATTAGTAACAAGATAAGCCGGAATTAAATCAAACATGTAATTTGGAGAAGGGCAACGAGAGCGTTTTAGAGTTCTGGGGGCGAAGAGGGGAGTGCTGACAACGGGAAAAGGGGGAGGATGGTAGGAGGAAGCAAGGCACACCTGTTGGCGCCATGGAACTTCAGTTCTTGCGAATTCGAGTCGGAGTAAGCCCAGATGATGTGGGCGGGAGAACTGAGGAAGAGTGGGACTCTGCCTGAAGCCATTTCCCTCTCAAACCTGCAAAATGCGAGTTTCTCAGGGAAAGGGCGATGAAAATGAGACCGGCTGAAAGAATGAGAAGCTGAACTGCTGCTGATAAAGAGGATGAGTTATCAATGCGTTCGTTCACGCTTTTCACTGCGTTCACTATCCCCAAAGAAAACCTCGAACCGCACTTACTCGACAATAGTCTTCCCGTCGCGTGAAGTCACAGCTGTCAACGCCAGCCCGAGACGCGGATTTGGCACAATCTCCGCCTTGCTCTTCCCACCAATATAGAATGAGCCAATGGTAGCCACGTTGCCGTTCTCGCTGTCGTCAGTCACGATGCCAGGTGGCAGGTTCCCAATGGCTGCGTCACTGCCGGCCATCTTGCCGTCCTTGGACCAGCCGAGGGCGACCCAGCCGGTGGTCGCGACTTCGGCGGCGTAAGAGACGGAGTTGATGCCGACGGTCCAGTGGAGAATATAACTGAAGTGATTGTATCGGGGGGGCGGGGAGAGGAAGAAAAGAAGGAAGGGAGCTCCAGGAGAAGGATGAAACGAATGTGAGGACAGCATGTTTGACTTCGACGCGATCCAGTGAAAGACGAGACACGGAACCGAAAGTGAGTGAGAATCCACGCGACGGAACGTGAGTGTGAATCCGCGCAACGGAAAGGGGACGGCAAGTGAGGTCTAGCCTTTCAGCACGGCTTTTATCCATGCACTGACGTCGCGAGTGAAAAGAGCCCTTTTCAGAAGTCCCGTTACAAGAACGTTAATTTTGGCTCACAAGAGAAGTACTTACTCTTTGCCCTTGAGCTCAACGGAGCAGCTGTATCCCGGAAGCGACGACTTGGTGCACTGCGACGAGCCCAACTGCGACCGGGGCTCGCCTTCACCGAATTCGTCGTTCACGGTGGTTACGCCAATCGCCCACGCGTCGTCCGTTTCGTGCAGCGGCTCCCCGTCGCCGAACGAGTCGCCGGCGGCGCCGTCGTCGAAGCCCCACTTCTCGTCAGTCTCGTGAACTGGCCCGCCTTCGCCAAAGGAGTTACCAGAGCTTTCGCCGAAGTCCCACGACTCGTCGGTTTCGTGAACAGGCTCGCCTTCGCCAAATGCGTCGGACGAAGGCTCGCCGAAATCCCAGGAGTCGTCGATTTCGTGAATGGGCTCGCCTTCGCCAAACGCATCCGTCGATTGGAAACGCGGCAAAAACCAGTCCCAGGAATCGTCAATTTCGTTCACCGGCGCTCCTTCGCCAAACGCGTCGGTCTGCTTCGAAGCTGCACCCTCCCAATCCCAAGACTGGTCCATCGGGTTTCCTGGCGGGTTCTTAGCTGGAGCTTTCTGGGCGTGAGCTAGGGCAAGTAGCCCAAGGAAGGCGAGAAGGGAGATAGAGCGGGGCGCCATATCCGCAGCGTTAAGGTGAAAGAAGAAACTAATCTCGTCCGGACACCCTTACCGTGCGCTCCTACCACGTCACAGATCTTGCAACCAAACTCGCCGATAATTCTAGCGACCTGTATCACTCTTCGCGACTTTATAACAGCTCACTTGAAAGGCTCGGGTCTTGATTGGGTTCGACCCGATCAGCTAGTTTTGTTGAGGTGTTAGGGGGGGCGATATGCGATGGGATGGGATGCGAGGATAGCTGTGCAGCAGGGGGCTGAAATGGAGGTGCGCGCATTTTCTTTCCCAAATCCATGATGACGAGGCGCGCGCATTGTCACCACTCGTTCGAAATGCGTCTCGGCTCGGCCTCCACAAAACGTCCCACATGGCACGTGTCACATGGTGACCCAGATTGGCCTGTCGAAAGGGTTCCTTGTGAAGGTTGGACCTGCTGTAAAACGGGCAGCTCCCAAGAAAACCACCTATGCATTCAAAGCTGCGCAATAAAATTTTACGGTTGGTTGCAGCGGATGAGTGCTGATTTGAAAGCTGCTGGTTGAAATTGCACTTCGGGCAGCCACTGGGGCAAGGAGAGCTTCGACTTTTGGAACAATAGGCCACCTGAACCAGACCTAGAACGAGGGCAGGGAGTGGTGGGCGCTATTCAAGGTCAGATTCAACGAGCCGCGATAACACAGGCTGGGAATGAGGGAGGGTGCAACATGCACGAACTTCGAATCAACCTCGATATACACACGACATAGATGGTTTGGTGTTACGTATAACGTGAACAACTATACAAAACCTCCGATTTCTGTATCTATGATCTACCTTAAACGTGGATTTACCTACAACACTCAATACATTCAAGTATATGCCCTCCCTCAACGGTATAATGAGCCTCGGGCACTCATTTAAGATTTCTTTTCTGGTGAATGCTTCCTAACTTGATCCATTACCGTTCTTCCAAGCAGGACATATGCAAGCTGTCGAGGGGGCAAAAATCGATACGTCTCTACAACTTGCCAAGATGGCAACCAACATTCTATCTCGTAAAGCAGCATTGCCTGCCCCTGCTATAATTATTACCACGGGTGGTTTCAAACGAGTACCACGCCCGTCCCCTATTTGCATCTCTGCTACTACAAAACTCACTCCCAACTCACACTGCCACTGTGGCCAGAGTTTGAACCCCTAATGCAGTGGCATGGAAGACGAGCCAACGCTGGTTGGAGCCAGCAATATCGTTATCGTTTATTCCAGGGCATACCTTTTCAGCCACGCTTGTGGCTACGATGCCAACGCTCCCGACGATCATGATCATCGTCATCATCATCATCATCATCATCGTCACCCCCCCTGCTGCCGCCGCCAGAAGGCGCAGTCCGGCAAGAGAAGTCAACAGTGATCCTTCCACTGGATACAGGGGAACAAATATCACAAGCAACCACAGGAAGAGATTATTGAGTCGACCCAAAAAATAATTTACAGAAGGCACAGCCCTGCAAGAAAGTGATGTATCATGCAAGAGATGTCAACAGTGACACTTCCACTGGATGGGAACAGGAAACAAATATCACAAGCAACAAGCACGCACGGAAAGAGATGGATCATGCATCCACCATCCACCATCAATCATCGACAACATTCCATCCAACTGCTCAGGCTTTTGGTTTCGAAAGGGGATCAGGCGGTTTAAATTCGGCCCACATGAGAGTGTTCTTGTTCCAAGCCACCATCATACTCACTACAAGCCATCATAGATGACTCATTACAAGCCTCTTTTAAATACTCACTATGCACCGCCGTGGTAGCCCATGTTCTTAGATCCTGAAGGCGAGTAGGCCCACATGAGGGTGTTCTTATTCCAAGCGAGGAAGCGAGAGACAGCACCAGTGTAGTGCTTGCGGGAAAACCTGAGACAATGGGAGAGTGGGAGACAGGGGGGGAGGGGGAGGGAGGGGAAGAGGTGGCTTGTTGAGAAGTGGTGGAAGGCGAGTAGGCCCACATAAGAGTGTTCTCTTGTTCCAACCCAGATAGTCGTTTACAAGCCAGATAAAGAACACTACTTTCAGTCACATGTGTAGCGCTCGCCCCCACTCTGTTTCCAATCAAGCATCAACCCCCCATACACGCACACCACAATCTATTTCCCCCTTCCCCCCCCCCCTTCTTCCGCCCCCGCCCCCCCCCCCCCCCCCCCCCCCCCCTCCTTCCCCGTCCCCCACTCACTTGACCACCGTAGACCCGGAAGCGGAAGTGACCGTTGTAGGGCTCTGCCCGATCCATAGCGAGGAGGACTGTATGGAGGATACAGTGTAGCCGTTGATCTCGTACGCGCCCACTGCGCCGCCCGCCAGGTTCCCAAAGACGGCATCGGCTGGAGCCATCTTGCCGTTGGCAGTCCAGGCGAGGGAGATCCACCCGGACTTGGCTGCTCCTGATTTCGCCTCCACTGCCATTGTCACTGCGCCGTTGCTGCGGGCTTTGTTCCAGTGTAGGAGAAGACTGTAAGGGGGATAGGAGGGAAGGAAGGGGAGGGTGACACAGGAAGCAGTGGAGAGGTGAGAGCTAGGGAGATCCACCCGGACTTGGCTGCTTCTGACTTCGCCTCCACTGCCGTTGTCACTGTGCCATTGCTGCGCGTCTTGTTGGAGTGTAGGAGCAGATTGAGCTTGATAGGCGTATCTAGACAGAGTGGACCTGGTGCAGGGGATACCTGGCATACCTCATCCCTCATGTTCATGCCTCTCCATCCCAGCACACACTTCCCCACCCATCAATACACCACTTCACCCCTCTGCACACCCCAGCTACCCCTGCACAAACCTTGTACCATTCAGCTGAGCTTGGTACGCATATCCAGACAGGGTACACTTGGTGCAGGCATTACCCGCCAAAGCCTTTCACCCCTTTACAGGCCTCCCCACTTGTTGCACAGTGCACTCACCTGTTGCCGTTCAGCTGAGCTTGGTAGGTGTATCCTGTCAGCGTGGAACTGGTGCAGGCGTTACCCGTCCCCGAGCCTGACCCCGAGCCTGAACCCGAGCCTGAACCCGAGCCTGACCCCGAGCCTGACCCCGAGGAGGAACAGGAAAGGTCAACGGTCGTTCTTCCACTGGCGGGGGGGTGCGGAAAGGAGAAAGGGGGGGAGGCGGGGGGTGGGGGAGGGGAGGAGGGAAGAAAGGAGGGAAAGGGGAAGGGCGGAGGAGGAAGGGGAGAGGGTGGGAAGGTTACTACTACAGCACGGGGAGAAATGGGGGAGAAATGGGGGAGAAATGGGGGAGAAATGGGGGAGAAATGGGGGAGAAATGGGGGAGAAATGTGGGAGAAAGCCCAGATAACATTGTTGGAACAGAAGGAAAGACGGTTCGTTTGGGTTGGTGGGGCTTACTCTTTGCCGCCGTGGTACGCCAGGGTCTTGGAGCCTGAGGGGGAGTACGCCCAGATGAACATGTCGGAGCCGCTCGGATTGTTGCACAGGCACGGGGAGAAACTCCGGAGTACATATGGGTACCGATGGGTTGTTGTGGGGGCTTACTATTTGCTGCCGTGGTAAGCGAGCGATTTAGAGCCCGAGGGGGAGTACGCCCAGATGATCTTGTTGGAGCCGCTCGGTTTGACGCTCACGCTCCCGTCTGACGTGGACCGCGTGAAGCTGCGCGGCAGGTTCGGACGGCGAAGGACGACGAAGGATGGAGAAGGAAGGCGAAGGAGAACGGGTAGCGGGGAGCGAATGAGGGAGGGAAGGGGAAGGAGATGCGAAAATGAGAAAATGGAGATGAGAAAATGGAGATGAGAAAATGGAGGGAGAGAAACAGAAAAGGGAATAGAAGGGAGGGAGAGAAGCACAAGGGTCGCACAAAGTCGCAGAACGTCGCAGAAGGTCGCAGGTGAGCAGCGGCGGTAGCAGCACGGAGCGCCAGTGGCAACGGATGGAACGCTTACGTCATTAGCGTTCTGGCTGACGTGGCAGACAGCCCCGGCGCGTAGATCGTGAACGACGAGGTTCGCGCCACGTCAGATAGACCGTATCCCGAGATATGATACGCGTACACCCCCGTGCCGCCCATGTTTCCGATGACGGCGTCGGCGGGCGACATATCACCGTCCGATGAGAATCCGACGGACATCCAGCCGTTGGCGGCGTTCGTGCCGCCATCCGCCTCCAGAGCGAATTTCACCGTCTTGCCGCCGGAGGGGATGGTCCAATGTAGGGTGAGACTGTAACGGGGATGAGGAACGGGAGGAAATAGGGGAACGTGAAATAACGGCGAGGGGAACGTGACACGGCGAATTAATGCGAAGTGAAAGGCGAGCCGATATCGGGGACTGCATTATAAGATGCACCAATTGTAGCGCTTACGAGCTTCCGAGGCTGACAGATGACGTGTATCCGGTAAGCGACGACGCGGTACAAGACGACGAAGAAGACGAAGACCCGCCATCATCGTCGTCGTCGCCGTCGCCATTGAAGAGGCCGCCAGCCCAGTCGATTATCCCCTGGAACAAGTCGCCCCACGTCAACTGCGCCGCAACCGTCGGGAGGAGAATGAGGAGGAGCAGAATCGGGAGCGCCAAGACTGCCGCGGATCCGCGGGCGCCGCGGGCGCGGCGTGCGCGTGCGGCGGAGGGGCGGCGGGTGTCCGCGAGGGGTGCGGTGGCGGCGACGGGGCGCTCGCCGCGGAAGTTTTGCGAGGTCATTGGGGGCTCGATTCGAGCCCGCGACTGATCAGCGGAAGGAAGGCGAGAGGCGCGAGGCGTGAGGGTAGAGCCGACTTTTGAGTCGACTCACAAGTCACCGCGAGAATGAGTGGCTCAGGAGTTGGTTCTGCGGTAGTGAAGGATGGGCTTGGCGGATGGTGGGCGACAACGACAACGTCGCATGAAGACTACAACTGACAGTCAGCGCAGCTTGTGAGAGCACATGTGCACTAGTAGCTAGGCGTGTGGGGGGAGCAAGATGCTGAGTTGTGTACGGTTCGAGCCATCACTGAAATACTGTACTCGACGGGACAAGCGGGAAGGCTGATGCAAGGGGATTTTGGTCGAGGGAAAGAGAAAGGGAGAAGGGGGAGGAGGGAGGGGGGAGGGGGAGGTTGAGGGGGGGGGTGGGGGGAGGAGAAGGGCCACGTGGCCTGGCCGCTGGGCTGGGCTGGGCGCTTGCGTTGGTTGCGCAATAGAGGTGCGCGGATGCAACTGTGGCGGGGGGGAGGGGGGTGGGGGGGACAAGGGAAAGGGCTGTCTGGCGGAGGCGCAGAAAGCACAACAGGTGGGGGAGGAGGTGGGTGGGGGAGGGACATTGGCGCGACGCGGCAGATGCACCTGGATGGAGAAAGGTAGACCATGCGATGGATGCAGCCTGCCAGCAGTGCGCGCGCCGTTGATTTTCCTCCAGTAGCGGGTGCCCAGGGTACCACTGTTCATTTGAGTTAGCGCCTTCAGGTTCGGGGAAGGTTCGGGTTCGGTTCTGCCTTTTGGCCGTGGTGCGCAGCTGCTTCCAAACCAGGTTGGTGTGGTGAGCCCCTCAAGGTTCGGAACTAGAATCTGCTAAGCCTTTGAATCAACAGGTTCGGAATGCTGGTGATTTGCAGAACTTTGGGTTCGACAGGAATCAGATTTACAGGTTGGGTTTTGAGACTTTCTGTGCTTGGCGATTACCCTGACCAAACCAGCAATACGAAGCTCCTTTCATGTTTGTGCATGATTACAAGTTCGGTAACTCACCGGAGCGGAGGAATCCTCTCAATGAATACTACAGTTTCATACTTTGTCTGTCGCGGGCAAGGAGAAAGGGCCCTTCCAAGTGCGGGAAATTTGTGGCACAATCATTCGAGCGTGTGCCGAAGCTGGAGCTCTTACCCAAACCAGAGACTTGCTGAAGGAGACAGGCCAATGACAAGCTGCAAACTCTGACTCAGCGAGGCGAAGAGACTTCATCCATTTTGCTGTTTCATCCGCGCTCAGGGAGTGTCTCTCCGACATCCGATATGGACTAACTATATAACTTGTCTAGATGGACTCAACCTAGGTAAAGCACTGCACACTAGTCCAAAAATGTTAGTGGTGGTTTTGGACAACTCTCGGAATTATGGAAGTTCAGAATTCCATCAACAGGAGCATGGGAAGGCCGATGAATGAAACTAATGGTTGCACAGTCATGAATACGAGGCAGGTTCGATGGCCTGTGGAAATGGTTGAGATTGCAAAATCACATTCTAAAAAATAATGCATAAATATGCGAATTTAAACATTTTAAATCAACGAAACGCCCCCACGGGTTGAGTAATTATGGGGATGCATAAGTTGTAAGTGTAATGACTGTAATATTGAAACTCCCGGCATGGGTGAAATTAATATGGAGGACACAATTTTCTTCACTGCTGAATCCGACCTCCCCGCGCTATTTTTGTTCAATGCCACCGACCGACACACTCCTCTTCTGTGACTGCATCGCGACGCGATCAGCATGATGGAATAATGTTGACCAGCTCCAGCCAGCCTCAACAGCTCGTGGATTTCCTGTGGTCGGTCTGAGGCCAGCCTGTGTCATGCTGACTGGAGTCAACCAAACTCGTATTTTGGGCCGTCTGATTGGCTTACGAGATCACTTGGTGTTCACCGACCTCCCAGTCACGCGCATTCGCGAGCCCCGCGCGTGCGCCAAATCACCAACCAAACCGAACCAGTGCCAAACTGGCGCGGTTTTCTGGAGCCAAATTGGTGGAGCCCACCAACCTAACCGCACTGTCAGTCAAAGAGCTCATCCCTGCCTCGCTGTCGCAGACAGATTAGTTCCCCTTGAGGGGTACACACAACATCTTGGAGGACGTTAACGTACGATACAATACGGTTCTCAACGTTTCCACTCGGTACACTGTTTTTACCGTACTAAAAGCATGACGCACCGTATTGCAACGCAAAATGACATCCCCGGAAGTCGTGAATAGCTCTCCCCCCCTTACTTCCCCCCCTTACTTCCTCCTCACCCAACTTCGATGGGGATTGAGGAACAGCTGTGCGGCACACGCCCCCCTTCCCGCACTACCGGACCGATCCTCCTGTCCCGTCCAGCCCTCCCCCGCATTCCCCTCCTCAGGAGGCTCTTAGTGAGCTAACTATAAAAGCAAGCTGCGGCCAAACCCTCTTTTATCCCAGCCTCAGCAGCTGGCTTCCAGAGCTCCTAGTTTCTCTTAGCTGAACCGAGAGCGAGAGAGAACCATAGTGGCGCGAAGTTCCGCCGCAGCCACTCTCCCGCTCCCATCCACCTCGCACCCGTCGCCCTTACTACTAGTATCAGCGGGTGTTCCACCGCAGCCCGAAACTTTTCGGAGTCGAGTAACATCCCTCGTTGCATTTCGCGAACCTACTAGGACTTTCTCCTAGGCATTTCGCGCCCCCACGCGCCGCGGCGAACTTCCTCTTCAATTCGTCAACGATGGCTGCGCGTTCGCGCTGCTCGGGAAAGCCGTCATCACGAAGGATCACGAATCGCGGCGCGCCGCTTTCAACGCGGCGCCTGTTCCCGCTCCTGGCGCTGGTTCTCGCAGCGCTGATGCTGCCGCAAAACGCGCTGGCGGCGGGATCCGGTTGGGGCGGGACAGTCTCTTCCGCCATGTCGCGGTTTTTCTCGTCGCTGCGCGCGGGGATCCCGGCGGCGCAGGGTACTAGCGTCAAGCCCGCTGCGACAGGCACGTGCGACCCGTCGTCGCTGTCGGGTTACACGTCGTCAGTCGCCCTCGCGAGCGGGTAAGTTCGTCGACTTTGATGCGTTAAAGCCCGCGGTCCGTATTGTACATCTGTTAAAGGAAAACCCCGATTCAAACGTCCTCCCCCCCCCTCTCTGGAACGTCTTTCCAGGCCGAGTCCGCCTGCATTGGGCGGTAACCGCCACATCGACAATCCGAGCGTGCGATATTCCCTCCCCGCCTTCTCCGATCCACGCGTGCGCCCTTCTTACCCCCTACCCCCCCACCCACCCCCCCGCCTCCCCCCCCTCCCCCCCTCCCCCCCCCCCCCGCTCTTCTTACTCCCAGGCTCGATGTCGCCGGCTGACGCGGTGATGTGCAACCTCGCGACTTTCAAGCCTCTCGACTCGCGGCGGTTGAGCGGTTGAACCTAACTCGTCTCCTTCCGCTCCCCTTCCCCCTGTTCATCCCTCCCGCCCCTCCCCCCTCTCCCCCCTGGCCTCCCCCAGTCTCCGCCTGCATTGGGCCGTCACCACCACATCTACGATCCAGCTGGCCCTAGAGGCGACGAAGGCCAGCGGCGCTGGAACCGGGTGGTTCGCCGTGGGCTGGTCGTCGGGCGGCGCGATGGCGCCTGCAGATGCGGTGATGTGCAACCTCGCCACGACGCCGGCTATTAAGGCGTACAGGATTACTGGGTACTCGACGAGCAGCGTCGCGGCGACAACCGCGTTCACGCCGGGGAGTGTTTCCTTGACTGCGGGAACGACCACCACCATCGCCGCGTGAGTAAAGCTGCTTAAAGCGGGTACAAGAGTTCCTTGACTGCGGGAACGACGAGCATCGCCGCGTGAGTATGACATTGCGAGCAGGAATCTAGTAGAGGGTACAAGCGCTAGTGTCTAAGACGTCTCTCCCTCACTCTCTCTGCCTTCTCTGCCGTCTCTGCCGTCTCTGCCGTCTCTGCCGTCTCTGCCTTCCATGCCTAAGACGTCTCTCCCTCACTCTCTCTGCCTTCCCCGTTCTCTCTCCCTCTCTCCCTCCCTCCCCTGCCCCTCACCAGGCTCACTCGGTCGACTGGCGACGGCTCGTCCGTCGGTGTTGACGTGGCGGGCGTCAACACCCTAATCTGGGCGCCAGTGCATAAGCCGTCTCTCTCGGCCGATCTCTCCCTCACTCTGCCTTCCCGCCTCCCTCTCTCTGCCTCCCTCCCTCCCTTACCTCGTGCCAGATTCACCAGGTCGACTGGCGGCGGCGCGTCCGGAGTCAACACTCTCATCTGGGCGCTAGTAGTATCTAAGACATCAACACTAGTAGTGTCTCTCCCTCACTCTCTCTGCCTTCCCCGCTCTCTCTTCCTCCTCTGCCTCTCGCCAGCTTCACCAGGTCGACTGGCGACGGCGCGTCCATAGGTGTTGACGTGGCGGGAGTCAACAGCCTCATCTGGGCCTATTCGGCTGGCGGCTCCAAGACCGTCGCCTACCACAACAGCAACTAGTAAGCGCTGCTTGCAATGCTTCTCCCTTCCCCCACACTTCTTCTCAACACACATCAGTGCTGACGTGGATTTCTCCAGCTATGCTTCGTCAGTTTCCCCTCCACTCATCCCCTCTTTCCCCCCCCCCCCCCCCCCTTTTTTCCCCCAATCGCAGTGGCAGTGCTGACGTGGACTTCTCCTGTGACGCGTCTTCTTCCGCCACCCCTGCGCCTCCCCCTCCTCCCGCCACTTCCGCCCCCCCCCTCCTCCGCCGTCTTCTTCTGGGGGAGGCTCCAACTGCCCCGCCTCCACCCTAGCGGGCTACACCTACCAGGCTCAGCTGAAGGGGACCAAGTAAGTATCCCCCTCCCGTGTTATCCCCTCTTCTTCCCCCCCCACCACACGTTAATTGCTCCGCATGATCCTCTCTCACCGGCTACATCTACCCTCTCCTCCCCTTCCCACTGTCTCTCCCCCCAACTCAACATAGCAACCGAGGCCCCATACCCTCCCCTCTCCTCCCCTCTCCACTGCCCCCCCCCCACTCAACAGCTTGCTTCTCCACTGGAACCCAGCCTCTGCTTCGCGACTCGACATGGCTGTTGAGGCCAGAACCGCCCCCATTAAGAACGGCTGGATCTCCCTGGCATGGTCCAAGAGCAGCAAGATGGCGCCTGCTGATGCTGTATTCGGCAACATGGCTGGCGGGGGGGTTGCTGCGTACAAGATCAACGGGTACTCCATGGGGTCGATCCAGCGCACCACTGCTTTCGGCATCGGGACGGCCACCACCACCACCACTGCTTCTGGCT